CCTGTCTCTAAATAAAATACAAAATAGGGCTGGGAATGTGGCTCAGTGGTTGAGTGCCCTGAGTTCAAGCCCCAGCACACACACCCCACACCGACCAGAAAAAAAAAAAAGGAGGAAAGATGGAGGGAATGAGTGAAGTTTAAATATCAAAATATATATTTTCTGTAGTTGATGAATAACAAATAGGAGTATAATGTATTAATTAAAATTACAGAAAGGTTATTATATAGTAGAACTAAAACAGTGCTACAGCTTTATTATAACTTGGGGAAGGGGGAATATTTGTTAATAGTAGGAAGTCAATACGTTGCCTAAAATTTGATATATTAAGAAATAATAACATATACATATATTATCTAGCAAAAAACAAAGGGTAACTTAAAGAACAACCAAAAACAGAGTTTTAAAGTAGTTGCTATGGTGGTGTTGGTATTGGTAATGGGGAGACAGGACTGTTGTTCTTTAAATTACTTTCACTTATTTTTTAATCACATGCAAATATTTGATAAAAGTTTAAATGGTCTAATTTTTTTCCTCTAAATTTAACAGTATTAAAATTAAAAACTTGGATTTTATTTTGGTGGCATTTTTTTTCATAAACATTTAGTTCTTGCTTCTAATTATATGTGGCCTAATCCTTTATAGTCTGGTAATACTAATTATCTATAATTAAGAATTATGCATTTTATTAACATAAATATTTAAAATGAAAAAAACGAAGGGTGATCTGAAATAATGATCTGTGTATTAAATATCTTAAGACAAAAATTGTTATATGCCTTGGAATGATCCATGTATAGGATGCTGTTATCTACAGATGTTTTTTTCCTCCCTGTACAGTCTTTATGCTTTCCCTTTTTTCATCATGCTGTCACTTCCTGTACAGTATTGAATTTTGAAGTGATAAGAGCAGAAATCCTTGCTTTGTTTCTGATTCAGATAGAAAACATGGATTCTTTTTTTTCCACCTTTGAGTTTTATGTTATTTGTAGATTTTTGTAAATGAACATAATTAGTTTTAAAAAAATTTCCTTGTGTTTCTAGTTGGCTGAGGGCTTTTCTCATGAATAGATGTTGGATTTTTAAATTAAACGAATTTTTTGGCAGTTGTTAAAATATTTATTTGGCTTTCGTCATTATTTTGTTAATATGATAATTTACACTGATCAATTCCTGAGTGCTAATCCAGTCTTGAATTCCTGGAATCAATCCCTATTTGGTTATGTTTTTATTATCCTTTTTTAATATTGCTAGACTGTTTCATTTTTCATCCATGCTTGAATATTAGAGATATTATTCTATAGTTCTCTTTTCTTGTTATGTGTTTGATATAAGTGAATATTGACCTTAACCTATGATTTGGGAAGTGTTTCCTTTTTCTCTCATTCTAAAAGATTCCAGGTAAGATTGTTACAATTTCTTCTTTAAGAATTCACAAGTGGGGTTTACTGTGGTTTTGGCTCAGTGGTAGAGCGTTTGCCTGGCATGTGTGAGGCCCTGGGTTCAGTCCTCAGCACCATATAATGATAAATAAATAAAATTAAAGGTCTTGTATTCATTTGTAACTACAAAAAATAATTTAAAAAAAGAATTCACAAGTGAAGCAACCTAGACCTGCAGGGGCTTTCTTTGCTGGGGCATAGGGACTGACCTTAAAATTGTAAATTTGATGTATTCAGCTGATAATAGGAGTATTAAAATTTTCTGTCTTTGGTGGGTATTTGTTATTTCTATCTTTGAAGGAAATGTTTCCAGCTCATCTAGGCTGTCAACTGTATTGACATGAAATTGTTGTCCTATTGTGTTCATAGGATCTGTAGCATCTCTAGTGCTGTCTCTCTTATTCTTGATTTTAATAATACATGTCCTCCATCAGTTTAACCTAGAGACTTACCAGTTTTCTTTTATCATTTCATTGAATCAGATTTCATTGATTTCTCTTTTATTTTCTGTTTCATTGTTTCTTCTCTTTATTGTTTCCTTCTGAGTTTTGCATTTCTGAAAGTGGGAATTCATATTACTAATTTTAGATTATTTTCTCTAACATGAGCATTTAAAGCTGTAAATTTCCTCTCAGTGATTTAGTTATAATCACATTGATTATATTTTCATCATTTCATTAAACATATTTTCACTTTACCTTGCAATTTCTTCTTTGATTCCATGAATTATTTAGGAGTATGTTGTTTTACTTTTCAAACATTTAGGGTTTTACTAATTATGAATCATTTCTAACTTAATTCCATTATGGTCAGAAAATAGACATTTTACAATTTTAGTCTTTTTAAATTTACTTATACTTGTTTTATGGTCTTCCATATTCTGTAGGCATTTGAAAAGTGTATTGTCCCATTGTGAGGTGTATTGTTCTATAAGTGTCAGTTAACTCAAGGTTAATAATGTTCAGATCACCTGTGTCTCTGCTTTACCTCCCGGGTGGGCCCCCCCCCCCCAGTTATATTGGTTGTTGAGAAAAGGCTAGAGAATAAATTATACTTCTAATTGCAAGTTCAGTAAAGTTACATTGCAGAGAACATTCATACAAGGACAGGAGAAATCTGTGACCATATTTTACAACTTACTAGGGTTTATTTTAATGTTTTCTGTAGTCTTGTATCTATTTGAAATTTTCCACAATAAAATGTTATGAACAGTTTCTCAGGTAATACATCATGTTCTAGGGAATGCATATTATATGCTTCATCAAACATAGGAGAAGTATTTAGGATTTCTATTTCTGTTTATTGTCATATCATTTCAAAAGTCATGTTTTGTGTTTATATATATATATATATATAGTGCATGGTATATTCAATTGTCATGTATAACTTTAAAATATAGATATATATACGGGAGGTAGTTATGTGTTTTTTTTTCACTATTCTTGCTTAAAAAGAATAGTCTTAACTCCATGGAGATGTCAATTTTGTTCTAAAAGCTACGTATCGTTTGAATGGTCTTCTAAAGTTCATCTTAAATTTTATGATAAAATACAGTATTTCCATTTATACTCATTTTGAAGTGCATCATTCTATCAGATTTTTAATTAAAAGATATTTTTATACTCTTGAGTCACTTTTGAGACACTGTCCAAACTTAATTGGGGAAAGAGGGAATAAGTTAATATTTCCCCTCATTAATCTCTTTCTCCATCTGGAATGTTTACTTCAACTATCATTTGAAATGAAAAAGAACATGATTTATAGGCAGAAAATAAAGAAGCTAAATTATTCTGATACTTTTACTAGATTCAATTCATTTCTCAAACCCATTCCTCCCAGCTTCTATTCTACTTTGAAGAGCAAAGAGTCATAGAAAACACATTCTAAACCCAGTTGTTAATTTTTTAAATATCCAGTATTCAGACTCATACAAATTAACTTCTTATTTGCTACTCTTAGTAAGTTTCTGAATGTAACTAGAGATTTTACATTCTAAATTTCCTAATTGGCATTTTGTCTATTAATGTGTGTGTGTGTGTGTGTGTGTTCCTAGATTTGCAAGGATGTGTTCCTAGAGCTTTATTAACTGAAAAATATTTTATAAGATGATTTATTTACTAGATCATAAGGCAGGAATTCAGTGATGGATGTTTGGGGAGGTTTGATATAAATTATGTTTTTTATATGGGTTATCTTCGTGTTTTATAAACCTCTATGTAATTCAAACTTTGACCAAATTTCCTCTCCCACCAACATAATATAATTAAGATTTTCCTCAAATGAAAAAAAAAAGAAAAGAAACTTTTTAAACCCTATTAGCACTCAAATTAAAGAACAACTTCTAATAAGGGTTCCAGCCAACATCATTATTTAGAGAAACTGCATTTTAGCTAAGTGTGATTTATATATTAAAGCCACAGACAATGATATGTTTGGATATTAAGGTATTTGACAAAGTTCCTCATGACATACCCTTAAAGAACAGGACTAAGAAATGTCAGCTGGAGGATGATATAATTAGACTGATTTCTAACTGAGCACCATAAACACCAGTTGAATTCTTGACATCTGGAGGGTTGTGGAGTCCTTTTTTTTTTTTTTTAATTGGTGATTTGAATGGCATGCTTTTCTTCTTCATTCACAGATGATATTAATCTGGAATATGTATTCCTGATAAATTAGGTGACTGATTTGTTTAGAAAACAAATTCATCCTGATGAAGTAGAACACAGCATCTCATTAATAAAATAACTTAATAAGTTGTAAATGTAAACTCTTCCTTTGCCTTCCCTCCCAAAAAAGAAAACTCAAACTACACAGTCCACCCTTGGTATCTCCATCCCCAACTTCTTACCTTGTGACACCAAAATCAGCAGATGTTCAAGTCCATTATATAAAATAGCAGAGTATTTACATATAACCTATGCATATTCTCCCATATGCTTTAAATCATCTCTTGATTACTTATCTAATGTAAATTCTGTGTAAATAGTTGTCATACTGTAGTTCAAGTAATGACAATAAAATCGTCTGTACATATTCAGTATAGACACGTTGCGGGGGGGTGGTTCCCATTTAATTATTACCATTATATTTGAAAAAAGCAAGATTTAGAATTTTACTCAAAATATATCATTATATTAATAGGGTGTCTATTTATATTCACAATGCCTCAGTTTTGAGGCATTTCTCAATTTTCTATTAAATACATGTTAGAAAATACAAAATATTAACAGTATTTCTAGATGGTATGATTTGGAGTGGTTTTCTTTTATTTTGCCTTTCCACTTCCACATTTTCTAGAGTAAGCATGAATCCTTAATAAAACACATGGAAGACAAAGTGCTTGATTTTTTTCAATAACTTAAGTGTATGATCTGAGAATATTTTAACTTACATTGTTTCAATAATGATTTTTATCCCTCCTTTGACTGTAATTATGCTTACCATTGTGCAGAAGTCACAGTCATCTGTGGTGATCTCAGTGTGTTACTGTTATCTCACTCTACTACTGTGAATCCATTGAACCTATTTTTACTTTTTCATGCTTTATCAAAGGTTGAATTAATAAAAGGGAATTTACAAAGCGTTGGACTTACACTTCGTCTTGTTCAGTCAACTGATGGATATGCTGGGCATGTCATAATTGAAACTGTGGCCCCAAACTCACCTGCTGCAATTGCAGATCTTCAGCGGGGAGATCGACTCATTGCTATTGGAGGTAATGATGCTAATGTAAATAAATATTTAATATTTACAGAGAAACTAGAAAGTAGATGTGGAGTTTTTCTTGTCTGTCTTCTTCCTTACTTCTATAATAAGCACTTGTTAATTTTATTATGGAAAGAAATAAACTATTTTAAATGCTAGTTGGAAGGATACTTTACAAATGCATTTAAAACATATGCTATTTTAGTCCTAACATATAAATCATTAACTTCATTTTTAGACCACTTTTATGTAACTTCTCTAATTTTCCTTCTCTTCCTATCCTCTACTTCTCTTGTTTTTTAGGGTAAGTCAATAAGTTATCTTTTTTCATAATTACCACCATTACTACTATGAGTACTAGCACTATTGCCCCCATCCCATACAATTAGAAAATGAAGAGGAGAAGAAATATTATTCATTGTCCAAGAGGATATATCTGCACTGTCCTAAGGCCCCATATTGTTTGAAAAGCCAGCTGTTTGTTAGGAGGCTGTTATTTAGAGTTCAGCCTAAATCACTGGTGGAAAAATACATCACCTGCTTACTGCATACCTTTTTATCAACCAGATTATTAATAACAGCAACAAAAACTCCCTATTAATAGGATTACTTTCTTGTATATATATGTCTAAGCACAGCACAGCCAGAGGGGAAAGTCGAACCCTTTTCTAACCTTGTGGTACCTGGCTGTTATGGCTTGTAAGAGATTTCTTGAACACATGCTTGGTCACATTTGGTCCTTTAAGGGCATTGTGGTATGTTCTTTCACAGCTAAGACACTAAATAAGATACAGCAGTTCTCAAAGCAAAGAGCAATTATCCTTGGTTACATGTCGAAAAACTGTCTTTGGTAGGGTGACCAAAGACACCTGTAATCCCAGAGACTAGAGGCTAAGGCAGGAGGATTACAAGTTCAAGGTCAACCTCAGCAACTTTGAGAGACCCAGCTTCAAAATAAAAAGGACTTGGGAATGTAACTCAGTGGTAAAGTGCCCCTGGAATCAATTTCTAGTTCAAAAAACTAAAAACCTGTCTTTGGTTCAGTTTCATCATGACAAGAAAATAATGAAACCCAACTAAGTTAGCATTGTCACATGCTCTGATCATAGCCTAAGCAGCACTTGTCACACTTCCATGTGTATTCCTGTCATGTAGACATGTTCAAATATGTATTTGGTAGACCTGAGGAAGGGCCCAGAATTCTGTTTCTAACAACTTCCCAGATGATGCCAGTGCTACTGGTCCATAAACACTAGGAAGACACTAGGAAAGTCATAAAATAGCCCTCCGTTCATTATGTCAGCTGTCTAAAAAACTCTGCTAAACTCACAATTCAATATAATTTTTTTATGTTCACACATACCCTGTTTTGGTTTTATATATTGGGTGAAATTTTTTTTTTTTACTTTTTTATGTCTCTTTTAGGGTTTCATTTTAAATGACAGAAGTAGTGAATATCTGTAATTCAAAATAAATGACAAATAAATTCAACCAATACAAACGTATACAGAGAATAAAAGTAAAAATTGTTCCTTCAAATCTAACATTTATAAAAATATAACTTTTATTGATTAGACAGATGCAATAAACAATCATTGACAAAAGGTTTAAAGCATAACAGAAAAACTTTACATCTCTTTCCTGGCTTTTTTTTTTTTTTCTCCCTTAAGTACATCCTCTGCCCCAGTTCTAGGAAGCAAATTAAAAGCCTACAGTGTATTTTTGGTAGTAGGCTTTTTTTTTTTTTTTTTTAAATATGTCACAAACTTTACCCCATGTCAACAGCTATTTTTCGTATATTTGTAATTGATTCACTTATATGGATATATAAAAGTTTTAAGGTACTTAGTATCAGGGTATTGGTGAAAGTTGAAATAAGATTGGCAAAATGTTATAGCTAAATTCATTAATAGTCCATTTTACTGGTTTTATAGCTTTCAAGGATGTTTTAAGTATTCCAAAAGAAAAATCCAAACCTGAATGATCTAGCCTGGAGAGAGAGGTACAGTAGCCATCTCCACAAGCACCTGATGATTAGAAAAGAGATGAGACAAGGACAGATTTTTTGAGTCACAAATAAATGGATTTAGGTTGAGTTGAAGTTTTTTCCTGCTAAAGATCACTGGATGGATTTATTTTTCATTTATGTATATGTCAAACTGAGGTGTTCCTGTGACATAGTGTACTTAGAGAGAAGCATTAGAAGTTAAAGCTAGGTGAATCATGAAGAACCACATTAGAAAGCTCTGGATTTCAATGTGAGTTTTTTGGCCAAAGGCTTTTGAGCTGTAACTTTAGGAAAATCTGGCAGCAATATACTTGGTGATTAAAGTAGCAAAGGTCTGAGTGAGAGGTTGTAGTTGAAGACTGTTTATTTCCGTAGTTGAGGGCAGTGATCAGGAGTATCCAAACACTGAAAGCAAATGGACCTGAACTCTGAATTAGAATTGACAGATGAATGGATCTAGGGAGTCTGCTACTTCCAGGATTCAAATTGAGCTAACTGGGAGGTGGCAGGTTGATTCATAATAGTCAGGATAAGAGGATCAGAGAGTCACAGAAGGATTTTAACTGTGCCAAAAATGTAGTGCCAAAGAAGTATCCAGATGGTTTTGTCTGGAAGTTGGGCAGTAGTGAATAAAAGGAGAAACCAACCAAAAACAAATATGCTAGTTTGTGAACTATTAGAGGGGACCTTTGTACCAGGAAGAAAGCAAAAAAAAGGCTGAGAACTAATGACAGACAAACCTTCGTAGTGACTACGTGTAAAGGTCAAGTGTATATACAGAAAAGAAACCAGAGGAGAGATGATGAGAACCAGTTTAGTACAGTATCTTGAAAGCTAAGGACAAGAAAAGTTCTAAAGAAAAAAGAAGTAAGAAAAAATAAGTGAGGCTGAGTGTGGATGCACACCTGTAATTGGAGGAGCTCAGAAGGCTGAGGTAGGAGGATCCAGAGTTCAAAGCTAGCCTCAGCAAAAGTGAGGCACTAAGCAACTCGGTGATACCCTGTCTATAAATAAAATACAAAATAGGGCTGGGGATGTGGCTCAGTGGTTGAGTGCCCCTGAGTTCAATCCTAGTACCCAAAGGGTGGGGGGAATAGAGAATAACTGATAAAGCAAAATCCTGAAGGAGACAGGAGGGCAGGATCAAAAATATAAAAAAGGGATACTTCCTCCTCTGAAATAAAATAGTTACTGGCAGGGAGTTCAGGTAACTTCATGTGGTGCTTTTTGGTTAGTAAGATAGATGACATCTATCTGCAGAGAAAGAGTAGGGAGGGTTGAGCTTCAGGGAACAGGAAAGGTTTAAAACTGTTGATTTGGAATCTTAATTGTTTTATTAGAGAGCAATCTAAATGCTAAGCAGCACTGAACACCTTGCCGAGGATGGATAGCATGACTCAATTCTAGATCCAGATGGAAAGCTGAAAAGCAGGAAAAGGGGGTGGAGGGCTAGCAAATCTGAGGATTAATTATTTAAAAAAAAAAAAAAAAAAAAACCTAGAAGAGGAAAGGGCTAGAACAAGAGAATCACAAATATTTGTGAGAACATTATTTTGTAATCTTGACACTTAAGTTGGATAGCAAAGCATGTGATATCAGAAGACCAGTGGGACCATGCAAAGAAAGAAGGAATGGTTGGGCCAGTAAACTACCTAAAAGCAGAGTCAGCAGACAGTATTGTAATAGATGAAAAATTGGAGATGTGGTCAGAAATTAATTTAGAATGAGAGATCTTTGATATGGGAAAGTTAAACTTGATGAGCAGCCTACAGCATGATCTTTCCAGGCACTGAAGTAGATCACACAGTTGAGGAACTCTTGAGATCAAGGTATTAGAAGGGGCTGGTGTTAACTTTGATTTATTGAGGATGGCCTGGAGACCTTTGGAAAACAAGGACTTTTTCTCCAAACTCTACGTAAGAAATAAGTACTATCTGAGGAAGTTGAGAAGACTTGCAGGAAACAAGTCACATCTTCAAATGACAATACTTCTAGAGTATGTTTAACACATTGGGTACCTTATGGAAGGGACAGAATAGCTAGAAGGTAAAGGTGAAGAGTTTTTCACTCTGTATCCATTTGTGTCTTTTGAGTGTTAAACTCTGTTGGTATCAAAATTAGAAAATAATAAAATTTAAGATAGATATTCCAGATTTAGATAGTAACCAATTTGTTTAACTTTAAGCAATTTATCCCTTGTTTTTTCACATCCTGAAACAAATGAGTTGTGTGGCTGTAGCTAATAGAAAGAATCTGAGTCCATTGTCCATCTTATAGTATTTTGCTACACTTATTTTAAGCATTGGTCTCTTGATTTAAGTCATTTGGCACATAGCTTGCAATCTCTGGGGAATATTTTGGAATTTCTTTCAGTGGAATCATAGCTTCTCATCATTCTAAGTCTGGTTTAACCAATAACAAAGCCCATTTAAATAGGTCTCTGTCTGCTCACTTTCTCATTTCAAACTCAGAAGTAATGTCATTTAACCTAGGAAAGAATGGGAAGCAATTAGCAGTTAATAACCAGGCTGACAAGGTAAATTTCCAGAATATCCACACATTCAGCTAAGATTCAGTACAAGAGTCAAAAGTCAAATATCCTTAGGTTTCCCTATTATTCTTCCATAAGGTAAATAATTTTTTTCACAATGAATTCCACTTTTATTAATAATAATAGAAGGGAGATCGTTAGAGTAGAGCAAATGGATGGGCAGAAGGAGGAAAAGAAGTAAAAGAAAGGTACAGGGGGAAGAGATTGATCAAGTGCATGTATAAATATGACAAATTTCACTTGAAATTCAGTGCCAGGAATTTAAACATTTACCTCTACAGACAATATCATACATTTGTGTTGTTTTTTGGTTAAATAATTTTGAGGTAATAGCAATTATATTTTAAAAATTAGGCAGTTTTTATTGCAGTAATTTACATGTTTTCCCTTTTAAATCTTCAACCAGGTGTAAAAATTACATCGACACTACAGGTGTTGAAGCTTATCAAGCAGGCTGGTGACCGAGTCTTGGTGTACTATGAAAGGCCTGTTGGCCAGAGCAATCAAGGTACTGTTCTGCAAGATAATTTTGGCCAGTTGGAAGAAAACTTTTTGTCAAGCTCATGCCAACCAAGTTATGAAGAGGAAGCTGCAGGACTTGCAGTGGATGCTGAAAATAGAGACCTTGATTCTGAATTTGAAGATTTGGCAAGTGATGTCAGAGTACAAAACGAGTTCAAAGATGAGGCACAGTCATTAAGTCATAGTCCCAAACGTACTCCAACAACACTTTCTATTAAACCTCTTGGCGCTATATCCCCAGTTTTAAACCGTAAATTAGTTACAGGAAGTCACCCACTACCACCAAAAATTCCAGCCAAAGAAGGAAATAAACCGCCAGCCCTAAAAACTTCTGAGGTACTAGACCCAGCACAAGTGTCAAAACCCACCCAAGGATCCACTTTCAAACCACCTGTGCCACCACGACCACAATTAAAAGTTCCTTTGCCTTCTGCTGACACCCCAAATCAGGCTGAACCAGACATTCTTGTTGAAAAGCCAGAGAAGGTGCTTCTTCCTCCTCCTCCTGCAGATAAATCTGAGAAGCAAGCAAAAAATGTGGATCACATAGAAGATGTGACTACATCTAAGCAGTTTATAGCAAAGCAAGAAATGACTAAAGATTTTACTTCAGAAGGTTCTTGCCCTACTAAAGACAGTTCGGATGACCATCAAATGTGGGAGTCATCAGAAATTCTTTATCGGAATAAGCTAGGAAAGTGGACAAAAACCAGAGCATCCTGTTTGTTTGATATAGAAGCCTGCCACAGATACCTGAATGTTGCACTGTGGTGCAGGGATCCTTTCAAGTTGGGAGGTCTCATCTGTTTGGGGCACATTAGCTTAAAACTTGAAGAGGTGGCTTTAGGATGCTTAGCTACATCAAACATGGAATACCTTTCAAAATTCAGACTGGAAGCTCCTGCACCTAAGGCCATGGTCACTAGAACTGCTTTAAGGAATCTGAGTATGCAAAAGGGCTTCAATGACAAATTTTGCTATGGTGACATTACTATTCACTTCAAATATTTGAAGGAAGGAGAACCAGACCACCATGTAGTTACTAATTTAGAGAAAGAAAAAGAACTCCATTTGGTTGAAGAAGTTTCTATCCTGCCTAAAGAGGAGCACTTTGTTGGACAGATGGGTTCATCAGAAAGTAAACATAGTTTCCAGGATACTCAGTTCCAAAACCCAACTTGGTGTGATTACTGTAAAAAAAAAGTTTGGACAAAAGCAGCTTCCCAGTGTATGTTCTGTGCTTATGTTTGCCATAAAAAATGTCAAGAAAAGTGTCTAGCTGAGACTCCTCTTTGTGGAGCAACTGAGAGACGAATAGACCGAACCCTGAAAAACCTTAGGCTAGAAGGACAGGAACCCCTCTTGGGCCTGGCTCCTCGTGTTGATGCCGAAGCTAACAAGTCAGTTAATAAAACGACAGGTTTGACAAGGCACATTATTAATACAAGCTCTCGTTTGCTAAATTTACGTCAAGTCTCTAAAACTCGCCTTTCTGAACCAGGAACCGATCTTGTAGAACCTTCACCAAAACACACACCCAACACATCAGACAATGAAGGCAGTGACACAGAGGTCTGTGGTCCAAACAGTCCTTCCAAACGAGGAAGCAGCACAGGAATAAAGTTAGTGAGAAAAGAAGGTGGGCTGGATGACAGTGTTTTTATTGCAGTTAAAGAAATCGGCCGTGATCTGTACAGGGGCTTGCCTACAGAGGAGAGAATCCAGAAGCTGGAGTTTATGCTGGATAAACTACAGAATGAGATTGATCAGGAGTTGGAACACAATAATTCCCTTGTTAGAGAAGAAAAAGAGACAACTGATACAAGGAAAAAATCAGTTCTTTCAGCTGCTTTGGCTAAATCGGGTGAAAGACTACAAGCTCTCACACTTCTTATGATCCACTATAGGGCAGGCATTGAAGATATTGAAACTTTAGAAAGTCTATCATTAGACCAGCACTCCAAAAAAATAAGCAAGTACACAGAAGATACAGAAGAAGACCTTGATAGTGAAATAAGCCAACTGATAGACTCGCAGCCATTCAGCAGTATCTCAGATGACCTATTTGGTCCATCCGAGTCTGTGTAACCAACAGGCTGTGTCAGCTTTCAAATGATTGGGGAAAAGATGCATCTAAAGTACCATGGATACAGCCATGTTTCAGTTCTCTTATAATGCACCTCAGCCTGCTGCTCCAGTTATTTACTTGTATAAGAAAGAACAGGAATGAGTTTGTTTTCCAGTAAAAATATGACCAGCTCATTAATTGGTTGTTTTGGGTTGCATTTATAGCTATGCTTTTTTGGGGTTTATACTGGGAATTTATTTTTACTAATTTATTTTTAACTTTTTCTAATTATGTAAGCTAATTTGTCACATTTATGTATGTGTGGTGTCTCACTGTGTTATTTTTCCTTCAACTTAGTTTTTGAATTAGTGTTAAATAGGATATTGTCCAGACTCGTAATATTTTCATTTCCATCACGGTTATAAGAACAGTTTTGCTGCATGCCCAAATTGACAACAGCAATCTTTGAGGGAACAGGTTTTGAATCTTTTTGTTTTGTTTTTTGTTTTGAAGTTTGTCATTTCTACTTGCTTGAGATTTTTGTTACTTTGGGGCTTTGGGGGGCTTTTTCTTTTGTTTTTGCCAAATATAACATGGAAGCAGATGCTGCAGTTTTAGTCTATTATGCTGATTTAGTAAAATTATTTTTTACATATATTGCTTGCTATCTATGCTTCTGAGATTTTTGTCTAAAGCTTGTGTGCAGCTGAAGTATAGTAGATACCTAGTGATGAATCTGAAGGGCTTGCATTGATAAACAAAATAGGGAATAATAGAATACAGTTGGTCAAGAATTTTGTAGAAGATAACAAGATTACTGAAAATTAGTAGCCAGTAGGGTTTTGAAATATTTTTTCAATATTTTTCAAAATTTCAATTCTTTCCTTTTAAATGGAAGTCCTAAGCATTCATGATGGTTTTTTTTTTTTTTTTATCTTCAGTTCTCCCATAGGAAATAAAGCATGTACAAGGATATTTAAAGTTTCAGAGGACTGTTGTTAAATGACTATTGATAATTGGTTTTGTTTTAAAAACATTCTCATGTAGGAGTATATATTGTGAAGGAGAGGAGTTATGCAAAGTGTATTTATTGCTTCATCTATTTTACAGGCTTAAAGGAATAGTGATCATTCTGAATATTTCTGTAGTGCAGACTGTCATTCTTTTTTTTAGAAAGAAAAAAAAAATAGACCATATACATAGGAATTGGAACCAGTTCTCTGAAAATGAAGATCTTCTCTGATACTGGTCCACTTATTGATGCCAGTAACACATCTGAGGGAAAATGTGTAAACTTGACCTCTGTTTGTATACCTTAATAGTTTGGGCCTATTATATGCCTACAAAATAAATATATATATTTTTCCCCTTTTATAGGTAACTAGTCTGATAAGTTGATACATAATCAACACGACTTTAAAACAAGATGAAACAGCTTTCATGGTGGGCAAAGAAAGGCACAGTAAGGATTGTGACCCAGGACTCTATATAAGAGTTTAAGTTCAAGGTCTTCCCTTAATGAGCTGTCAGCCATAAGCAAGTCACAGAAGGGCTCAGTGCAGCCGTTTCCCATCTGTAAAGCTAGGATAATACTACTTACTCTAATAACTACCTCACAGGGTTGTTGTGAGGAAAATAGTAGCATAACTACAAAAGCACTTTGAACAGCAAAAAGCTATACAGATAGAAGATATTATTTATATGAGAAAAACATTTTTGAGGGTAGAAAAGTCATTCCACTTTTAAAATCAGTAGACTACTAAGGAAAATATTAAGACACTAAATATCTTTCTTGGCCAGGTTTATAACAAGAATGTATGTGAACCCCCTTTCTCATTGTTTACGCATGCTCGAATTTTAAAAGAACACTGCTACAGCAGACTTTCCACACCAAATCCCTTGAAAGCTAAAGTGTCCCACAACATATGCGTGAACCTGTCTGCCCAATGTATAACCATGTTTCCTATTGTAAAATAACTTACCATTGCTAACCAGGAAGGCGGAGTATCTAAGTGGTTGGTGTTTATAGATTAAACCATGGGAGTTTTAGTGACATCTAAACATGCCCCTGAAGCTGTTGCATTTGAAAGAGCAATGGAGATAATGCAAAACTTTGATTTCATAAGAATCTACTCATGTTTTAAAGTATTTAACTCTTTGAAACCACAATTATGGAAAGCTCAGTAATGCTGCTAATGGCATTTGTAAAATATACCTTGAATGTAGTGCAATATTTTTCTATCTGCTGGAAGAAGCAGTAGAGGCATCTCAGTTGTACTTTAGTGCAAGGGGGGAACACTCCAGACAGCCTAGAGTATAGTAAGGTATAAGGCTTCAGTGAAAAAATTGTATTATATTACATTACTGATGTAATCTTGCTGCCATGCTATGTTATCAATAGCTAAAAATAATAAATAAATAAAGACTACCACAGAAAAAAAGAATATCTTCATTTGATGCCATCCAAAAAAAAAAAAAAGTGATTGCTGCATCTATGTGGAATTATTGCCTGGTATAATTTGGCCATGCAGATAAGCTACTGAAGTCCACTTTTACAAAATGAAATTGCAAAAACAATTTTTTAATTGTTGTTTTCTTAACTTGTGAAATATCATAGTTATGGATTTGCTTCTGCTATATAGTAATAATTAGACTACTAGAGTGTATATTTTCCATATTGGTATTTACATGAATGGGTTAGAGAAAATGAGCAACATTTTGGCATTATTTTGCAATTATAAAATATATGCTACATTTCTTAATATCAGGAAACATTCTTCAATATCAGAACTGGTTGAAATATTTATTATGTGGATATTTTGTGATTCTGAGGGAAGAAAGCAGTATAAAAACTTTGAGGGTACTACCAAGTTCTAAATTTAAATGTATCTAGATTTTTAAAAGGCAATTTGAAAACATTTGGCTCTAGTAGTAGGATAATGAATAAGATTCTCAAGTCCTCTAAAAGTGAATAAATTTAAAATCACTTTAAATCTTTTTTAAAATGTTGTCTTTGTTTCTAAATTGAGATAATAGTGTACCCCAAAAGAGTGGGAGATTCCCCTCATCCTTTTTGAGTCCCGGATACCCTTTAAGGTCTGGTTAAAACTGTGGACCCTCAGCCCTGGAAGCTGGATCATGTTCACCCCATTCAGAATGCCCCTGATTTCAAGGGTTTTACAAAACTTCCAGGACCCAGGGGCCTGCGTACATTATGCCAAATGGCTGGATATTATAGTTCTTTTTATCAGGTACAGTTAACTTGTTCACAGCAATCAGAATAGTAATGCAAGAGTAGAAGTTTGGGGATAACTATTTTCCACATTGACATAATGTGCCTAGTTACATATTTTTATTTAAAACAAATGTGGGAAGCTAAAAAGTACACACTAACCTGGAGTGACTTTTAATTAAGCCTGCAAGCATAGAAGAGTTTTTAATTAAACATCCATAATCAAAATGATACCTAATATATTTTATTCCAACAATATTTGGTTTATGAAAGAGTACAAACAGGCACAGTATAGTGTGATCAGGTTTATTAAATAGGCTAGCTAAAACATGATTAGGACAGATACACAATAGCAGTCAAAAGAAAGATGAGTATTCATTACTACCTCATTAAGGTTTTTGTGTCTGTATTACCAAGTACAAACATAAAAGCCATTTCTTCAAAAAAATAAATGTTCAGAGAGCTGTATGTTCTTTGTTCTGATATACATGATACAACATCACCCGTTTTCACAGTCTTGTTAATCCAGAATATTAGTCATATAAAATACCTTATCATTTTTCTCCTTAAATACATACATTTCTTTTGCTCCCCAAACAGTTCTCAAAAATCCATCTGTTTTATCTTTTTCCTAGGGATCAATAGCAAGCATGCCTTAACAGAAGCTGAATCCTTAGAGGCAAAAGTAAAATAGGAATAAATTATAGAGTATTGGGGCAGGGAGAACCACAAGTCCCTCTAAGAAGCAATTTGCAGCACACTGGTTCTTTTTTGTTTGTTTTGGTTTTGCAATGCTGGGGATTGAACCCAGGGCCTCAAGTGTCAGGCAGGCTCGCTACCGCTGAACCACATCCTCAGCTCCTAGTATATTTTTTTAAAGGCTATTCTGTACAAGTGAAAACAATCCTGCTGTTTTGTTTTGGCCATGTAAGAATTCCTCCAGAGCCGTCTTCCAAAGTAGCTGACTTGTGTAATAGTCCACACTACTGAGTAGGAAGCTTGTTTTTCTCAAACACACTGCCCTTGGAAACCAATTATCAAATCATCTAATCCCCATGGAAGAGCTTTAGAAAGCAAAAGAAGTACTAGCCACTTTCCTAGAGAATATGTAGTAGTCAATAAGGTTGAGAAGTCTCTGTTCTAAAGATCTTTGCTCCTTGATGTCCAAGTTAACACACAGTTTACTGAACCAAACTGACATGAAGTAATTTATGGTTACAGAATTGTAGAATTAGTATTATTTGGGATATATTCCACACTATCTTCACATTCCAGTCATACCTCATATGAAACAATGTAAACAACAATATTCACTAACAGTATTTGCTGGTACACTAAAAAGATATATCAATGTTATCATGCTTAGAAAATGTTTATTACCCAGCACACAGATGATATGGTAACACACACATTTTTATGTTTGGTTTTTCTTTTCTGCCTGGGAAAGGAGATGTGTCCTGACCACCTTATGAATTTTATCTGATTTTCTAATGTGGGATTAAATACATAAACAATTTAATTCCATTTTTGTTTAAAATTTGTTTCCACATTATGTGAACAACTTTGGGGAGTCAAAAAATAATAGTTTTGGACAACCAAAAATTAATAGATCCCTAAAAAAAAAAAAACACTTGGATGACCTACAGACCGGCTGAAGATATTACAGTCTGAGTTTTCAATTTATAGCAACAATTAGCCTTGTTTTATTTTTTCCAAAAATTTTGAACTAGATGTTGACAAACCTTACCTTGCTTACACAACCTTAACAGTGTAAGGTGCCTGTACTCCCCATTCTCACCCAATAAGAAGAACTACACATCTTACAAGGAAAGCTTTGCTTCATAACTTGACATTTCGGTGCTTTTCTCTGCTTTCAGAACATTTACTATTTTCCCATGTTGGCTTTAATGTTTGCTGCCAACCACAGGACATGTAAACATAATTTACAACCATCCCTTTCCAAGTAGGTGATTACGTAGAAAACTAATGCCGGCGAAAGATTTACAGATAAATCCAAAAGATACTGACTTGAGTTCTTGTCCTCTGCACTTGAGAAAACTAGCTTTTAACTCATAAATATACTGATAGTAATTACAAGTTAAATAATACTCTCAGTGTTGCTACATAACATGCCGTCTTATGTGATTGTTTTCAGACTTCCTTCTAATTTCTCATTGTTGGAAGAGTCAATGTGTGCTTTAAACACTCATTACCAATATTCAGAAAAAATATAAGATATTTTTGTCCAAGTGTTCATGAATGTAAGTTAAAAAATTATATTTGATTTGGATTCAAATATTTATAGATTTACAATATACCTATTTCGTCAAAATATATTGTATAATATTTAATAAAATCAAATACATAAAATAAAGTTTTCAACACTATTTATACAAACCCCTAGAAAAGCTTCTTTTTCTTTATAAGGCTGTTGGCAGTCAATCATAACCACAGAAAAGAAATAATAACCTTTGGTTGTTTTACTCTTTCGCCAGGGATGGATGGTATGACTAAGACAGCTCCGGATGAGTCATTTCACTGGAAACACTTGTATACAATTAAACACCGATGATTTTTGAGGGTCTCAGTCACTTTCTGATTCTTCATCATCACCTATCGGATATGACTGGATATTATTCTGAGTGTACATTTTTGTTTTAATGGGGCAGTTGTGATCCATGAGAATAGCCTAAAAAAGAGCACAGTGCAGGTACATTAACTTCCTGTTAGGTAAAGATCAGATGGAATTACTGTTTAGGGATTAGTTTGAAAGTGCTGTACTATCTGTTATTACCCAGTCATTTTGGCACAATTGCCAGGTACCTGGCCTAAAAGACTTGGAATTCTCTGCTGTGTGGAAATTCCCAGTGGTAGGAGATAGCAGAAATGGTCGTTGCCAAGTTTTCATTTACCTTTTCAGGGAAAAGTCATTTCTGGGAATTTAGATGCTGTGCAATAAGAGGTTAAGTTTAAGGAGAGTTATACCTAGGTTCTGGGAAATGAAAGTGGGGACTCTGGGGATCACCCAGTCCAACTATTGTGACAGCACATTTTATAATGCTTCTTGAGGGGAGCTCACACTTCTTAGAAACCTCTGGAAGTCTGGACTACAACCCACTCACTCCATTATTTCCATTCATAGATGTGGTTTTGATATCAACCATATACACACACTGTCCTGAGATTAATGTGATGTCCAGACCACTTCTTCCTCAGATCCTTGCTGTCCTCATCCATTTGGTATGATTATTTTTAATGTGTTTCTCCTCTGATGAACATAAAAGTCTCGCCTTCTTATTATTACTAAAAACTTTTTAAATAGTGTGACTGAAAAAAAACAAGTAATGCCTTGTTTTCAAAGCATACTCAACCACTAAGCACGGACAGCCGTTCTTCCTCCTGAAATGTGTGGAACCAAGCATGCAGGCTGGTGACAGCTGGTGTTTACCAGGCTGGGACTATACTAAGCATTTTAGATGCAATTCCTGAACTCCAGAATAACTCTGTGTGGTAGGCTGAGGAAGCAGGCACAGAGTGGTTATTGGACCAAGGGATACACAGCTGTCCCTTGAATTCTCAGGGGATTATTCTAGGACACCCCCCCACACACATACACACACACCAGGACACCAAATCTGTGAATGCTCAAATCCCCTATATAAAGTGGTGTAATTGTTTGCACATAACCTACACATACTGTATACTCAAAAATCACCTTTAGTTTACTTATAATACCTAACACACTGAAGATGCTGTGTATAGACTTGTTATGCTGTATTTTTAGGGAATAATGAAAAAGGTTTGTATACATTAGTACAGATGCAGTTTTTTCAAATATTTCAAACCAGTTGATTGAAGCCACACACACAGAACCCACAGATGTGAAGGTCAACAGTATAGCAGAAGGTGACAGGTTGAGGGAGCCTCGACAGCCTCAGGACAAAGGTGTGCGACACACCCAGGCAGCTGGAAACGCCGAGGCCATTGGTGGGACGCCACATGCAACTACAGTGGATTCTCTCTCTTCCCAGGTACGTCTCCTACAGTTTTCTTCCCTTTGCATGAACCATTTCTCAACCCTTTTTGTGTAGTTTGAAAATCTAAATGGATTAGAATGTTCCTGATGCTGGCCTGTTGCAACCTATCTCAGTGTCTGTTAGCTATTACCCCAGCTCTTGTCCTGCAGATGTGATAAGAGTCCAGTCAATGCTTAACCCATTTATCATTTCCCAAGAAATTCTCAAATGATTTTGCCTGTGTGACACATAAAGATAAGACTTCCTTGACCTCAGAGTCAAGCTGCCAGCTCACACTGTCAGCTTTGGACTTAACTGTTTCTGATTATACTGCTTGCCGAGTGAATTGATGCTTGTATTTTTAAAAAGAGTTCAATTTCTAAAAATAACTGAGGCAACAGACATCATACACCAGGACCATTCTCCCTATGTTACACAAAGGTTTAATTTAACCCCCTAGTAGCTAACTGTCTCATCTGCCCAGACTAGTGATTCTCAAAGAAATGTGTCTAAGGATCACTTGGGGGTGGGAGAGGTGGCGCATGGGTAATGGGTATGGAGCGGGTTAAAAATGAAATTCCAGATCCCTACTTTCATGTGATGGTGCTATTGATGGCTTTGAGAAACACTCCCCTAGTTATAAGGCATTTTCTAAGCTGGATGACAAAGCAGTCATCCAGCCATCAAGAACTTCCAAGACACCTTCTAGAGTGTCAGCAACTAAATTACCTTCCTGCACAAGTAA